AAAATTATAACTCCCTAAACTGATAGAAAATTAACACAGTCATAAACGGCGTATGTGGCTTTAGCAATGCAGCTGAAAAGGGAAAAATGAATAAACCTGCCACTCAGAAAGTAAAAGGCAGAGCTGAAGAATGACTGCTGCCATTTCAGCGTCCTGGCCCTTCTCCCTGCCATGCAAGTGCAAAAATAGCCTTATCCCCCTGTGCAGGCCGAAGGGAAGTGCTCTTCTGTAGGTCTGTTCCTGCAGACGCTGCACTCAGCAACGTACGGCTATAAAGTGCATGACTAGAGGATATCCTAAATTAATTTACATAGATATATAAATATATGCATGTGTGTGTATTTTGTATGAAATATGAAACCAGTGATTTCTTAGCCAACCCCTTAATTTGTCTGAAACAGTGCAGGCATAATGGAAACTGCCCACACATTTTTCCATTAAAAGTTACAAAGGGAAGGGAGGGGAGAACTGGTGATAGAAAACCACATGCTCTCTCAGCTGTCACATAAATGCCATGCAGCCAGGCAGCAACATACTCTCACATGCGCTTGCTGGAAAAGGTGTCATCTTTATTCTGGTGCTTACTGCTGGTCTTCCTGCTCATGACCTCCCTCCGAAGCACTCTGGGCTCCGTGTGTATGGAGGGGAGGGACATGGCCGTGCTTGTATCTGCACAGGTGCATGCAGTGAGCATGAAGAGATCCAAGCTTGTCCGTATCAGTTTTGCAGCCTTCCTCCTCTGCTTTACAAAGAGATAGTCTTGCCATGCCATTGCCCCTTGTGTGGCGTCGGGTGACTGTGCGGGTGGCTGTATGGAGCCTGCAGAGTAACTTTGGATGGGTTATAACAGTCTCCCTGTCCTGCCAGCTTCTTGACCCTGCTAGGAGTGGCACTCGCCACGTTTGGGAAGGGTTTCTGTGTAGTCTGTCCAGCCTGAACGTGAGTAATTTTCTCCCAGGCTGGATGAATGTGTGACTCTGTGCTGCCGAGCGCCAGCCAAGGCAGTGCCGCCTAGCAGGCACCTACTGCAGTGAGCCCCGCTGGCTGCTGGGCAGCTCTAGGGGCGCCTTGACGGAGAAAGCAGGGAGGGGAGCAAAGGGGGAGGTTTGGGGGAGCATCCGCAGTTCCTCAGGCCGTCACCACGAGGCGCAGGTGCTCCTCGCTGCCTTCCTCTGCGGACCGGGGAGACCACCGCAGGTAAGAGGCTGCGGCGTTAAGGCTCTTTGTGGTCTGGCAGGGGCATCTCCTCGCGGAATGGCTCACAGATACACCACAATGCCCTGCCACGACGCAGCAGATTCTTCAACTTGGAAAGGTTACTTTTCCTCCTCTCCTGCCTTTGACTTGCCTGACCCCACTCAGTTGAAGGTGTCAGGTGCAGTTATTCATTGCAACCAAGCCTCCGATCTCAATGAAAATGCTATATATGGAAAAGGCAGTCCTAGGAACTCACTAGCATTTTGTGAAAGAATGCGTTGACAGTGCTAACCATTTGGCACAGCGGGGTGGGAAAAAATGCAGCTGGTAACTAATGCAGGACTGTGGGGATTCGTGAATTTATGTTTCTGGGTTTTGCTATATTGTCCTATAACCCGTATGCATCACTGTGGGTTATGTTAGTGGAATTTTGCTGCTCAGCAGCTGTCCGGGCAATGTGAAGCCAGGCCCACTCATCCTTTTAACCATCAAAGGTACGCATTCAACCCATTTCTGGCTGCCTCGGGGCACAGGTCCACACATCTTTCTCAGCAGTAATGCCAGCTTAACGCCAGCTTAAGGCGTTCCCACCAACTGACTGTAAAGCCATGCAGTAATCTGTATCTGTTGATTCATCGGGGTTAAAAATAACTTGGATGTCTTGACTGGTTCCTTTTGCTGCACAAACAGCTGTGCTTGCCCAAGACAAAGGTAATGCAGAGAAGCGAGGCCAGGAGGTGAAAACACCCCACTCTGGCTTTGCTGATGAGAAACAGGTAAATGGAACTGCTCAGATACGGAGAGGTTGCTGTAGTGTCTGTATTTAACTCTCCTTCTGGGAAGCAGGATGGCTCTGGGGTGAGGGACTCTCTGAGGATTCCTCGGCGTTGAGACCATGGGCCCTGTTTAGTTCTGCTTGTTTCAGTTCCCCTCATATCTTTGGTTGGGTCTTCCAATGTGCCTGTTCTGTGGTAACTTAGAAACATAACAGCAGCTTCTTCTAACTACCAACCGGTGCCTAGGAATGTAAACCCTTCCTCAGGCCTTATTCTAGTATGAAGAGCTCTGTATTTAAGGGATTGAGCCAAATTTGGCCATGGTAAACTCCAGCACCTTGCTAAGGACTACTACACAAAGTCATTCCAGGTATGATTTTAGTCATTGGAAAGGAGAGAAAATAGAAAAGAAAAAAACCAGCCCAGCCCTGAATGGATCATCATTTACTATAAAATAGGACTGACTGTTTTTAATAAAGACTGTTGTTTAAGACTGTAGTAGTGTGAATACTCTCTTGATCTGTGCTCAGAACTCATCCTATGAAAAAACTTCGTAGGTCCGTATCAGTGGTTATTAGACTGCCAGAGAATTTCTAATCTTGCCAAATTGTGAGTGGTAACACTTGAAACTTTGTGCATCATTTAATTTATTAGAATATTTTTTCCTTTTCCCTGACACTTTGTTATGTTCAGTATTAATGATGTAGCAGCATTTCTCAATAGCACCATAACTTACTAATCCATAAACTGCAGGGATGTGTTTTGTATTTCAAGAATTGTGACTGCCCTCTCATCGCCCTCACAGAGAAACCTGAGACTGTTGTTCCCCCCCCCCACTGCTAAGTGAAGTAAAAAGCAGAGCTTTCTCCCCCATGTTGCAGAAAATACCTGTCTTCCCTATTAAGTGACTGATCCTGGAGTTGCTTATGCCTTTCATCCATCTGCTGTCAATTTAACTGGCTCCGCTAGCTAGTGGCTCCTTCTTATGACCTTGCAAGAATTTACAAAAGCTGCTTTCTATAAAAATTAAGGGGCGATCCCCATGTTTACCCTCTTGCTCAACTAACCATGTTTTGTTACTACCAGCTAGTGCTAGAATATATCCACGTCTCCCTCCACCTCCAACTCAAGCCTGCATCTGGGAAGATCCAATGACTTGGCCAAGATTTCCAGCTGCTGAAGTTACCTCGGCAGATTAGTTGCTGCTGCATATGTGCAGTAGCTCTGCCTGGACCGCTGTGTTTCTGGAAACCAGGAGCGTAAGTACAGCGCTGAGGCTCTGCGGCCTGTCAGACCAGGTCTGGCAGATTTGGGGAGAGCCTTTGCAGTGTATCCACCACACGCGTAGTCAGAGTGGGTGTCCAAGGCCCAGGCTGCTTTTTAATCCCCTGATTGGCATGACCTGGGCAGACCAACACAAGCCTGCTGCTTCCCAGACTCAGCAGACTTATTATGCGTATGTTAATGCTGGGGGGACCACGCACGTGTCTGTTTGGGAAGTCACAATCAGCCAGCACCTGTAAGGCCAACAGAGCTAGAGAAAGGATTTACCGTATTTATGTGTGTACAACTATAGCAGGAGGCATTGTCTTTCGTGGCTGTCTTGAATCTTTCCGCTAAGACTGACTGCAATGCAAGATCGGCATTACTGCTGTGTGAGGTTCCACATGCAGTGCACATGTGTGTATCAGACCACATAACCCGAAAATAGGAATTTCTCTAGTAACATTTAGCTTTAGTTTTCCAAATGAAGACATTGACTTACAGCAAGACAGCCTTTTACAGGATGGAACTCTAAGTATTTATTTACCCATGGTGTAATTTTTAGCTTTCATAAGAATGCAGGTATTAGCTGCTTAATTACAGCATTATGTATGTAAACTTGCACTGTATAAAAATTTGGAAGTAAAACCTTTGCCTAACAACAGTCTTATTCTTGGCAATCAAGTTCCATCTACAGAAGCCTTTCATGTTAGAGACATATCCCACATGTGAGCAATTGTTACAATTCAATAAATACTTTACAAAAATAATGCCAGCTTTTTAAAAAAAATTAAGATACTTTAACTCACCAGTAATTCCTCCCAGACAGCTTCTTTAAAAAATAGCTTCTTCTGTGCACTCAGCATATGATAAATGGGGGAAAAGGGCTGGTTGCATGCCTTATCTCAGGGAACTTAGAAATCTATATTCCACTTTTCCTGTTCTTTAAAAAAATAAACTTCTTTCTTTTATTAAAAGAAAGAGCAGATATAACACTCTTCATATTAAAAATTGGGAAGTAACTGTGATTTTTTTTTTTTTTTTAATTTTTTTTCCTTTGACATGGTTTCCTTCTCCAGCCTCACTCCTCCAAAGACTTATGGCATGCTTCGTTTACAGGTAGCTGCCCTGAAGATCTGCTCCCCAGCATAAGACACAAGCCCTGACAGCTGTAGCTCCGTATCTGAGATGTCTCCAGGAGCGGGCCGTTTGTAACTCTTGCCGAACCACTGCAGCAGGACTTCTGCTCTGTAGGAAAACCACAGCTATGTCTCCCTGCAAGCCTACCCCAGATAAACTGCAAAGACCTGAGCTAGAAGGTAACAGCAAGCATTCCAAGAAAAAAATTGCTAGTAACTGTCTATATTCACTTCTGAGTATTACCCTTCCAAAAAAAAAAAAATTCTCCTTTCTTAGATATGACTAGTCGTGAAATCAATTATAGAGAAAACTGATGCTGTAGGTGCATTAATCTTGTAAACCATTCCCATATGGAAAAGTACATTCTTCAATCCTATTGTTTATAATAACTTCTAAATGTGTGCCCTCCTCAGCTGGGGCCTTGGGGCCTGATGGTGATGGCAGCTGCTCCCCCCCCTCAACCCCCACTTATGTTATAGTTGGGGAATAAAATGAAATGCACATTATTAAATGAATGTTATTGCAGTATAAAATCCTACCAGGACAAGTTTTATGTATGTCTGTATGTAAAAATAGGTGTGTGTGAGACAGAGAGATATGTGTTTATAAATTACACACACTATGAAAAATACTTATGTATTATATTACAACTATATACATTCATTAGAAAGAAACTGATCAACCCCTGTCAAGGAGACAATGCAGCAGCCGTTATTAGTTCTTTGGCATCCAGGAAATGAATGCGGTTTTGTGTCTGAAGAGGAGGGAAATCTTTTCAGTATTCCCTTGCTTCTTGAAATTGCTTGTAGTAGTCTTCGTCTGAAGGGTTTTCTGTGCACTTCTGCCCATTGTTTGGAGGCCGTGCTTCATTGTATCGGCTCCAGTCCCCTTTGCATATAATCCAGGGCAGAATGTCCACTTTGTAATGGAGTTCTGCTGAGAATTCGATGCTGATCAGGTTTGGTGTACCTGCCCCTTTCCCTCTGGTAATCAGCTGCATATTATCATCATAGCAGCAGTGCTGTGCTGCAAGCGTCGTGCTTTCCAAAGAGAGCATGGAGCGGATGCAGTACCGTGCAGTGGGTTTATAAATCTCCAGTTTCTCCTTTGGACCACTTGCATCTTTCCAGCGGAAGTTTTTCCTCTTAATTCGATCATAGATTTCAGCAGTGCTGTATGCAACTTCTCTGGGATAAGAGCATGGGCAGCTGGGGAGATCATTGACAACTTTGTGCATATATTTCTTCAAGAACTCGCTTTTGCAGCTCATCCATCTTTCACAGCTATCAGTATCTGTTGAAGGGCAGGAAATGGAAACTTAAGATACATTATGCAGCATCCCAGTTTGTATGATCAGTGATAACAAATGAGTAAAGCCTAACACTTCAGCGCCAGTGCTTTGCTTAAGAAAGGAAGAGCAGTCAAAGCTTGCCTCCCTGCCCGCAATGTGTTAACGAGCTGTCTTGTCAGATAAAGAACTCCCATGTGTGAGGCCTTGAGGGCCTCGGGTCAGTGCTCCTCTGAATTACAGTGCAGCACCGTGCCACTAAGAATCTTTGACATTTCTTCTACCTGGCAAATTCTAGTTTAGCCGCTGATACGCCCAAGCAGCACAAGAGACACTATCATGGGTTTGCAAGCGACAGAACTGAAATAGGGAAATCACAGTGATTTGATGCCAGTCTCCAGTTTAAACCCCAGTCCACCCCCTCACCTTGTAAGAACAGCAGATTCCGATGCTGAAGGATTAAGTTTCTCATGATGCTAGAAATACCAAGATGGCAAGCAAGGCCTGGATTTCTTTTTCTGAAGTTCATCATTAAGCCCTAATTCAGTCTTTCTTTTAACTACCAAATACTTTTTTCTGTTTGGCCTCCATCTTCCCAAAGGAGTATTTCAAGCAGCTGTAGTTCAAACATGGAGACTGACTTCTTAGCTGGCAAATGCAGCCAAAAGTGATTCAGACTCTAAAAAGGCATATGTGACATAGTATCAGAGTGTCTGTACTTTAGGAGGACTTAATGGCACCAGAGCCATGACTTACAGCTGGGATTAAAGAGATTTATAGACTAGTAGCACATTTAATACTGGCACTTTATTATTTTGCAAGAATCTTGGGAGAATTCAGTTAAACATCTCCTACCTAAAACTTTATTTAAGGTCTCTGTATCATGCTATGGGCTTTCAAAAAAAACCCCAGCACATCTTGCTCCACACTTACGTAACAAGATCCTGGAGTAAGGCAAAGACTGGGACCTAAAACTCTTACAGCAAACATTCTTGCAAAATATTTACTTAGTGATCTGTGTCCTGTTTTTCTATCTCCTTAAAGAGTCCTGTCCTGGCTGCCATTAACTGTTGTGCCCTACCACCATAGGAGGGAGGTGCTGGGTTACATTATTTATCCAATTAGTCCAGCATCTGGTGTCTAAGAGTGGCCGCACTGTGGTTTCGTCGGAGGGATGAAATCAGAACATTACAGAGGTTGGGCTGAGTTTTAGACAGAGCAGTATCAAGTCATGCCCGATAAAATTGCTTTGGCTAGTGCCACTGCAGCGCACACAGTTATAAAAGCTATGCATGCTTATAAAAGTCATTGCCATTTTTTTTTTAATGTGACAGCTGTACCTAAAATGCTTTTATAGTATCTTCCATTTGAGGCTATTTTAGCAAAATGCTAATGTGTTTGATTTTTTCCTCTCCGTTAGTGTGGAGCCTTACAGCTCTTTTCTGAACTAGGACAGCGAATCACCATTTTATAATGAAACAAACACAGAAATTTGCTAAGACTTAAGAGGAGAAAGATTCTATGACAGAAGCAAGCTAAGGTTCAGATCGTAAACTTAAGCAAGGGAATAAATGGCCGTTATTACTGACATTTTTAATGGTAAACTCAAAATCTTGGTCCTGCAGTGAGAGTCAAAACAGGAAACTCTAAGGAAGTCTCTTATCTGTTACTGAGAGATTGACTAGGCTGCTTACCAACTTCAAACAGTTTGGTAGCGTTGAAGTCTTCACTTCCTGCAAGTAAGCTCACTTCTGTGGCAGCTGTCCGAAAGGTATCTTCAATCCCTAAGACAAACATGTGTTAGTGGTGGTGGTGTTTTCCTATTAAAACACAATGCAATCAACCGCCTCCCTGCCATCCCCTCCTTCCCCAGTTCTGCAAGGTGCTTTTGTTTGGCAGAGAAGTAATCTGAAGTTGCTGCTGGAGGAGGGACTGTTCATTTAAAAGTATAATGACCAAGGAATCTGTGGTGTTAGGAAGATAAAGCATTAGCTTAGCACAAAGGTCAAAAGTTTTCAAGATTTAGGGCTTAGATTATATTTAGGCAACAAACCGGTCAGTTACGAACTCGGTGCAGGGACCACAGCAAAGGAACCAATTTTGTTCCTCTTCTTCCCAACGGAAGGCTTGCCAGCACCTCCCAGTAATTCAGGTAGGAGCTTTGCACACACTTCACCAACAGCCACCTGGTCAGCTTCTCCAGAGCATGTTTCATAAGTTACTGACAAAACAAGTGTCCTAATGGAAGCTCTAAAGCTCTGGGTAAAATGTGATGTCTAAAGGAGACAGCCTTTGTGCCACTTTCTCAAGCAGAGTGACATGCCTGAAGACAGGGGAGTAAGTTCATAGCCGTATGTGGGCCACCATTTTTCAGGAAGCACGAGGAAGAATGATGCTATTACAAGAAGACTGGTGCTTGTTGGTCTCTCACAGTGCTAGGGAGTTGAAAGGTGTGAGTCGGCAAGAGATAAATAACGTCTCCAACCAATCCCATCCCCCACCACCTAGAGCAATCAAATAAAATATCAGGATCTTGAAATATCAGGATCTTCCAACAACCTCCAGTTAAGCATTTGCTATCAGTAGAGAGAAACACAGATTGCCAGAAAATGTATTAATTGATCTTGCCAGCGTAAACATCCTTTCATTTTAGCTTGGCCTATGACCCTCATGTTTCCCTAAGGTAGCCTTAAAACAAATGTCTCTTCAGAGAAGCATTTAAACAGGTTTGGGGTTTTTGTCCTCTCTATTGAATTAAAGACCTCCAAAGAGAGCAGTAAGCTCTTTAATATGTGATAACTATATGGTTAATAATGAAGTCTGTTCACCATCCATCTTCTTGCTGATGAACTTTCTCCTGATCTCCCGAACTGGGGCATAATAGTGGCTTGCAAAGCTTCAAAACAGCCTCAGGCCACTTTTCAATAAAATTATCATAGGATTTTGCCTTAACTCCAGCAGTAGATGCAGAATAATAGATATCCAAGAACCCATTACAAGGCAGTAATTCACTGCTGGAACTATAAACAGCAGAAGCTGAGCTTTGCCCTTGCAATTTCAAAAATGTCAGCACAGCCTCAAAGAGTGAATATATTTTGCTTGTTGATCGTTGGGGGTCTGTTATATGACATAATATATTCTTTCAAGTTTGCCACTGTTTGATGCTAGCTGGTAATAAATACTGGAGAATATCACTGGGGGCTACATGCTTTCTTCTGGAATTAACCCCTTATTCTTGAGGTTTTAGGCTGTATGAGAGCATCCAGAAACATTTTTCTCTTGAACTGCCGAGCAGCCGTTACCTTGCAATGGATGCATGCATCTATCTGCGAGTGACAAACTTCTCTCCAGCTCTCTTACTGAAGCTCCTAAGTCTTCTCTCCAGCACTGCTGACATTTCACTTCCCATCAAAAACCCCTGACCTCCAGTTTAAGAATTTCTGCCTTTCTGAGTCATTAAGTAAACTCAGTGAAATGCACACCACCACGGCATGTGTTTTTACTTCTCTCCAATCTTGGGAAGTAATGAAATTGCACATATCCTGTGCATTGTGGCAACTACTGCATCACTGCATTAAAAACCTGCCTAAATCCAAACACACAGCAGCATTTAAAGAACATCATGGGAAAGTATTCCATAGCAGCTTTAAATTTTTATAATGTAGGTTTGAGTGCTCAGCCCTGCTTTCACCAACGCAAAAAGTGCATGAGGGTAAGGACACCTCGGTTACTGGCATTTAAATGTCAGTGCCTGTAGATGGGTAGGAGCTAAGTAAGGCTCCTTGGCCATATTTTCTGGATGCATTCAAGCCAAAACTATACATTCTTTGACCCCATTGCACATAGCTATTGCGGGACCAAACTTGCTGGTTTAGAATTCTCCAATTATCAAGCGACGTGTAGTGAAACAGAGGTGACATTTCCACCTTAGCATTGACTTTCTAGGACAGGAAATTTTGTAGCTTAATGCCCAATGAACCCAAAATCTCTGGAGTGAAACCCAAAGCAGGTATTTAAAGTATTTTTTTCATATTAACACACATGGAGTCTTAAAGCAACTCTGTATACATTAGGCACAAATTTAAAAGCCATATAACTGGGGGAGAGCTATTTGTTCACAGCACAGGCGTGCCCGTTCACTGCACAGCAAAATATGAGCTCACTGAGGTAACAGTCAGCACAGCTGCTTTGAAATTCTAAAGTTAATACAAATTTGTTTCAAGGGAGTAGATTACACCCTTTGGAATACAAAACGTACTGTGCACAAAAATGACTGCTGTAACCTAAAAAAAGCCGGTGTTTGACGTCTAAATCCCGGGCGATAGTAGACTGCATCTAGCAGCATATTATTACTAGCAAAGAACCTGCCATTTCATAAACGGCCTTGAGAACCAGCGTGTCTCCTCCCACTGAAACTCTTACCTAGCCGGGGAGCCAGGGGGCCCTGGGCTTTGGGTACAGGAGGGCTCTCCTTCCCGCCCTCAACCACCTCTCCCCACTCCCCTCTGACGGAAGGGAACATGAGCACACCTGGGCAGTTGGGCCTGTCGCAGGTCCGTGACTCGGTGGCAGTGCAGGCGTACCCACAGGACCTCGTCCGCTTCTGATTGCCACTCCCACAGGTGACGCTACAAAGGGACCACGGGCTCCAGTCTCCCTCACCATCAATATAATCTGTGTAAGACCAAAGATGAGGAAGGAAATGAAGAAACAAAACTCCTACTACGCAAAACTACTGTGTAGTGTTTTTTATTAAGAAGGCAAAACAAGAATGGAATCCAGATGTCTCTACCTGAAGCTCGGGCTAGATGCCAGGCGTAAGCCTGCTGTTTAAATGGTTTTCACACTTGATGCTCCTCAGGGAAATGCATGCAACATTATTTGAAAAAATATTTCCTTTCTCTTTTGACCTTTTGGCAGCTGAGAATCCTCAGCTGCAAAGCTGGGTCATGAACTAACAGTGCACATCTATTCACATAATTTCCCTGTATGTAGGAATATGTTTTCTGACCACAGACTAATCAGGCACAGCATAAATGAAGTTTTCTTTTTCTTCTTTTCAAAACACACAGCAACAGCACAACAATACCCAATTAATTTTTAGGACACAAGGAATGTTGGACTATGGGAGGCTGAGGGTCATGCGTGAAAAATTGCAGTTTTTGTTCTTCAGTCCCTTGAACAGGAAACAGATATTACAGGAATACTGCCATGAATGCAGGGACCTGCATATTCGTCTTGTACCCAGAACAACATGCAATTTGTAGTGTTTCGTGTGAATTATTCAATAACATCAAATCTGACTCTTTACTAGCAGGAGCCTTATGAAAATGAAACACGACTTTATTCTCTTCTGGTAGACAGCCAAGGACAAATGCTATCAAGTCTGCACCACCGTGGTTCGGAGCCACTCTGAATATCTAAACCCCTTAGAACCTGTCTCCTTTGTTTGCTGAGGTAACTGTTGCACATCCCACCTTGTGAAGGCCACCACGTGGAGTCCATGAACCAATCCCAGTTTTCTTGCCTTCCCACTGGTCTCCCCAGCTGAGTGCTCTTTCTCACTAGGAAACATCTGGCTTAATGGATTTCCCTGCACTCTACAGATGTTTAACTGACCCTGTGATCATAACTTGCAGCCTTTGCTCATTTGGGTTAAACCAGCACTTGTAGCAAAGAAAAATCAGGGTTAGTGACTCTGAGCCAGCCCTGCTCTATAGCTATAGGCTGAACGTGTATGTACAGGCAAGACATAGGGACAGATCCCTGCCTGCACTGGCCTCTGTGCTACACGCGATTCCCGCTCCCCCCCACTGCCATGCTGTCTGTGGGCTTCCTGAGCTGGTTAGTAGAACACGTAACTTGATTTGTACCATATGTAATGACTGACGACAACTCTGTGGGGTGCTATTAAACATTTATTGCCAGGAGTATGGGAAGGTTATATATCTCACTCGTAGTGAGCTGCCTCGATGCGAGTTCCTCGTGGCAGGGACCTTATGTGCTTTTCCTCCTTTTCTCACGCTGCTGCCAATCAGGAAGCCGCCACACTTGAATCAGGTGTCCACGGTGTGATGTGGGTGGGACCATGGCTACCATCTGTGTGCAAAGACCCGAGATTCTGGGATTTGCCAACAGGCGGGCACTACAGCAGCCTGAGGAGGCATAAGATGGCTTAGGAAAATGTGATCTGCCCTCTCTCCCTGGCCCTGCTCTCCTCCTTCCCAGCTCTTTTCCAACTCGGATTTTTTTTTTTCCTCACGTGGCTGGTGAGGAAGAGGGAGGATAAGCAGGTGCAAGGCTTGTCAAAGGGCCCAGGAAGGGCAGGCAGAGCCATGTGATGCTTTTTTTGGCAAGGGCAGGACGAGGGAGATGATAGAGCCATGAAACACATGAACAGGGCAATGGCTGGAACCAGTATAAAAGCCCCGTACAGGCAGGATCTGCTGCTACATCCTGCTGGCCAAGGCCAACGGCACATGACATTTTAGGTTAGTCAGAAGGCCAGGAGTCTTTTGCAATTAGTAGGGTGCTCTAGTGTACAGCAGAGCACTCTAGGATAATTTTTAGGCCTACCGACCTAGTGTTTATACTGCACTATGAAACACATAGTATCTACTATTAAATATACCATGTTAGATTTTCAGCTGGAGCTCAGCCTGTTCTTCCTATTTTTATTCTTGTAATTCTTATAATTTTTTTTCTACCACAATTATTTGTGAAAGCAATTTTATTTTACCTAAATGAATAACAACCTAATATATGAATTCTTGGCAATAAAGTGTGCCCACAAATAAATACAGGTGCAACGCGAAAGGGTAGACTTTAATCTTCTGGCCACAAAATTTAATACATATGTATATGTTTCAATACACCATTCCACAAAAAGTGTCTCTCAATTGTTAAGGCTCTAGGACTTAACCAACACAGGAGGAAAGTAAGTGGGAATCAGTGCACGACAGCCGCTCTGAAGTATTTAGGGAACGCAACAGAAGTGCCAGGGTAGAAGTATTGTGGCTTTGAAAGCCTGCTCTAAATAAAAATCTTCTGTATTTACACACAACTTAAATCCTAGAGGCTCTGAGCTACCTGTGAGCACACACCAGTTCACCCCCCTTGAGTCATGCCCGCATGAATAGTTACAGCCCCTTGGGGCAGTGAATAACTGTAGCTCCTCTGTTTCTAGTTTCTGCAACTGTTTCACACAACAAGCTGAAAACAATTGTTTTCGCCATGACACATCTGGAAGAGAATTACACATGCAAATACACAATGTTCCTGCTGCACATGCCACTCCCCACACATGCACCAACATAATTCATCCTATTTGTGTATCCACCAAATACTACCACGTTTTAGATCTTGCTTATTTATCCAATAATTATATTTTAGTTCCCAACCCACCGCACGATTCTAAATTTGTACTTATCCTTACTCTAAAAATAAATATGAAACCTTGTTTCCTTTGCTTTTAAAAAAAGTACACTTAGGACTAAAAAAAGGTTCTCTTATGGGATAACTGGTATGATTTTCCAGATTATAGACTTACTAGTGGAATGCAGCTACCACAGTACAGCTTGTGCATCTGCACAGATTTGTATTTAAAAGCTGATGAACAAAAGCCACATGTTGAAAAACTCTATTTTGCTTGGCCTACTTTCAGCGATGCCTCACCATTCTCATTTCCCCCAAAGTCGTTTTTACAATCCCAAGATGCCCATAAGAGGCCTGGAACGCACACTTACCATACTCTGGCTGCTCTTTGGACTCAAATGTCCGGTGACTGGGTGCATGACTATCCCACCCACCGAGAGGGTTTAGGAAGTTGCTGTCCTCAGTAGTGCTGTCATACTTATAGTCCTGGTCACCACTGCTCATGCGAGTCAAGGTGGAGGACCTCTGCCACCAGTTTCTCCAGTCAGGTGATGGGACTGGCCAGCTAGGCTTGCTGCTCTCTTTCTGCAGCTCCTTGTCTGTCTCAGTGTCGGGGCCATCCACCACTTCAATGGTAACCTGTGGGATTCAAAATACAGCAGCCTGGCTGTCAGTGGGAAACGTTCTATACAGTGAAGACAAATGACTGGAGTTGCCTTGCAGAGGGGCTGTGTAGTACTGTAGGGTTCACATGTTGGAAACCATATGCGGATTACTGAGCCCAGAGATATGCGGTGGCTGAGTGATTCCTTCTGCTACCTCTGCTGAATCAGACCTTGGAACAAAGGCTAGGAAAAATCCTGCACAAAATAAGAATCCACACTGTGCCTAAAACCTTTGCAGCAGAATTTTCTGCTTTATGGGGAAAAGATGTTTAAATCCGAACATATATGACCAGGAAAAAAGAAAACCAGATCTGTTACGCTAATTATGCTGGGGCTGAATTTGAGGCAAGCGTGAGGCACACCAGCTTGCCGAGCCCGTTCCAAGGACCTGGGCTGACTCAAGACAGGGCTAAGTCAGTCCACGAGCGCGAAGGTCGCTGCGGCAGAGCCCGGGGTCCCCGCAGGGTTTGCATCGGCCCTTGCCCTCTAGCGGCAGCTCGGCCCATCCCCACGCACGGCCTCCCCGCAGCATCAGCGTTTCCATCAACCGCGGCGTTGGGCTGTCATCGCTATGTGAAACCACACTCTGCGGTGACGAGAGCCAGCAGCTCTTTCAACCGACGCCGAGTCACTTGCTGCTAAGCCCTCTGAAGTAGGTCCTCTTTCTGTGCTGGAGAGTACAGTGATACACAACCCGTGTACATTTTCTGCAGAAGCTCAGAGCCAAGATTCAAAGTTTGCTGCCCAGTTCCAGACATCATGAATGTAAATATAATCCTGCATAGGGACAACCCTTGATTACTCTTTTTCTGTGCTGAACAATGTATAATTATGAAACTCTTGGATAAATACTGCGTGTGCATCTAGGTGCCTATTTAGGTAGAAACAGGAACTAGCCATCACAAACCTTGGCTCTACAAGTCATGCAAGCACAGCATGGCCACGGATAAATCATAAAATGCTCTGATACTTCATGCTAATGTGGTTCAGTGATTACACTGGACTGGCTAAACAACTATGATACAGAAGTGACTAGCAGATATACCTATAATGTTTAATCATTACAGAGGTATCTTTGTGTTTTATAGGTTTACAGAGCAGTCTTTCCATGAAAATTGGGTTGTGTAAAAGCAGGAAAACCAGAGTAATGTACTATTATGCTAAAAGTCATTTACATGGCTCTATGGATTTGTGTTTTGGATAAAATGTTTAGTTTTTAGACACACACGAGAAAAAGAAAGAAAAGAGTGTCCGTCTTTCTTCAGCTACCTGCGATCCACAGAGGAGTGTGACATAGGAAGCAAACCAGAACTCCTGCCATAGCTTCATAGCTGCCAACACAGCTGCACAGACAAGACAATGCCCACACATCCTTTTTTGGAGAAAAGCGATTTTGCATCTGTTTCATGCTTTGCATTTGACCAGAGCCCAAGCCATTGAAATGAAACAACTTCGAGGCTACTAAGAAGCTTCACTGGGGGAAAGAGCAACAGTGAGGGAAAGTGCAGCTGTCAGCCTAACAGCATCTTTACACAAGAGATATTTTACTCCCAAACTAAACATGGAATTGGAATGATTACTTCATTAAACCTCAGTTTCTACAGACCAAGAATTAAAATGGATTTCATAAGTTTGAAAGCATCAGGGTTAGTTCAGGGATTCAAAATTGTTGCATCTACCCAAGCAAAACAGAGTTTTCACAATAAGTGAAAGGAAATAGTGTTACTGAGCGGCTAACACTGTGCACTGCTGGCCAGTTGCAGGCCTTTAGTACTACCCACGTGAAAATTAGTATGACTCTAGTACTTTCACAGCAAGTATTTTGAAGACCACATTAACTGTGTAAGCAATGACTCAGCAAAGTGGGGAAAAAGATCTCTCTCACAAAAAAAAAGACAGGGAGCACATGATAATCATTCCATGTACTTTGGTAATCTGTAGTTATATGATAGAGAATCGGAAGGAACTCGCATTGTTTCAGCCAGGTACAGTTTGAAAAACCATAGGGATTTGATTTAAAATACTTATTCAGGATGCCAAGTCAGTTGAAGCAAAAGAGGGTGTGTAGGGACAGAGAAACTTGGGTTGCACTATGTGCTACACTGGGGAAGAGGCAGGTGTAACACACAAACTTCCAGGCTCGTGAGACCTCATCAGACCTCCAACAGCACTGCCACTGACTTCCTTTCAAGACATGTCTGTGCCATCAGATATCCTGCTTCAGTCTGTGTTTACTACCAAGGAAGCTTATTACAAAGGCCTTTAAAATGAGTTTTCCAGCAGACAAGAACTTACTCTGCAACAAAAACCTCTCACATCTAGCTTAGAGCTAGCTAACATGGAGCAGACTGGGAAGGCACAGCCCATCAGGGTGACCCAGTGCCCAGGGTAGGTGAGCTTGTCAGCAGCCGGTGAAATCACACGCTGCTTCTTTCAGTGATACCTGGGCAGGGAAGGAGTTCTTCCACTCTGTCTCTCTCCTCTCCAGCATGACTGTAACTCACTTTGCAGTACTGTGGTGCTTTGTCACCCATGAACCAGATAAGAAGTTGAGGCCTGAGACAACTACTACAATTAATTATCCCTTTGTCTTAAAGGAGAAGTGACATCTGGGGAGAGGAGGCGTCAAGAGACATCCACCCCAGTGTAAGCAGGATTTTTTGAAATAGTCTACTTAAGAAATGAACATAACAAAAGCAAAATCCAATGTGCTGGACTGACACACACCTATACTGCTCCTTCTCCTATTTTAAGCTTTGATTACCAAGTTTTTAAGACGTGGCATTAAAAAACATAGAGTGAAAGAAATTCTGTAAAGAATCCTGGCATTGCCTGAACTGCCATGCTTGGAACTTAAAAAAGAAGACAACTTCAGTTGAGTCTGGTTCTGTCTGGGGATTCAGCTGTGCTCTGCCCAACTCCATCGAACCCTAATGCCCCTTCCAGAGGCAGGAGGAAATCAGTGAGTGAGCCTAGTAATCCCTCCATGGTATGACCCAGAAGTTAGGGCAGAGGTGTGAGAAGAGGCTGCTGCTTCGGGCGAGCAATTGCTTCCCTGTCGCAGTATAAAATTTTGGAAAATCAGCAATTACTGAATTCTTCCCAGTACTTACGGATAGCCTTAACAATATTAGGTCATAACTGTACATACCCGTACACATGATACACAAACTATCTTGTTTGATTGCTTTCTATACTGGGGGTTGTTTATGAAAAGGAAAAAAGAAATTAGATCTAGAACTAGAGTCGTTAAAAATGGGCATTTAAAGCAGCTCTGGAAAAGCTTTCATGCTGTATAACTACTCCAACAAAAACATGTTCTCTCAAAAATTAAGAAATAGACCTAGTTTAGTATTTCTATCTTGGAGACTGTTTTAAAGACTTCATTTTCTCTGATTTCTTCTTCCAGTGATTATTAAAACTGTAAAGATTATTTTTTTTTCTCAAGCTTCCCAAAATGTCTGTGGTAACATGGTTCTTGTATAAATCCACAGTCATCTCCGAAAGTATTCAAGCATAAAATGAAGCCACTTCTTTTATGATTGTGTGAGCTATAAATAAGGATGTTCCTCTAAAAATTGTTAAAAACAGTTGGCACAGGTACATTAAAACAACAGATTTGCAGTCAATTTCTAATGAAACAAATGTATCAAGCACAGATGTTTTGAGACACCAACATCCAATTTTTTTCCTGGCCAAAAATATACAGAAGATAAATATTGTCCCCGCCTGTTGGAATGCACAAAAAGTTCTGTGTACTTCCTCCTGTTTACTGAGACAATGTTTCTGAATTCACTTTAATGGTGTAAACATTGCCCTAAGCAACTGGAAGATTATGTTTCAGGAACAACTACATTTGCAATATTGTGCAAGCAGTGGATTCTACGATACTTCTAACCTCTGTTTCCTTCATGCAACTGATGCAAACTTGCAGTGCAGAACTTGCCATTGCGTAGAAGTGCATATGTGCAAGTCAGCAATGAGGTAACTATAATAGCAGGACAGAAATGAATTCATTATAAGACATTCAAATGTTAAATTTAGGTTTACACTATATAACAACTTCAGTTAAAATGGTATCAGTAGTGACACCAATTTACCTCTGCTTAGGTCACGACAGCTCACTTGGAATAGTTTTCTGGACTTGTTGAAAGGAAAGTGAAGGACCCTCAAAATTTGCTGGGAGCAAAGACGACATTGTGACTTGAAACCTGAAGTTTGTATTTAATGTTGCCAATCCTAGTGACACTCTCTGAATCCCAGAATTAAAAATCTGGTCCGAAACCCAGCTCTGAATTTTGCACTCTGCAGCGAGCTTGTTACACTATGACATTAAGAAATCTGTTCAGAGGTAATAACAGCCCTAGTATTGAAATTGGATTAACCATGGCCCTCTGGCACTCTGCTTTGCCTAGACTTGTCTCTCTGGCTTGCTAAGAGGACTAGCTAGTTCCTGCCATGGCTACACCGTGTTTCCGTGTTTCCGGTGCTGCAGTGAGCTCAGCAAAGCAGGGACACTGACTGGGCAGATGGTCTTGGGAGCAGGGAGTTCTCCATGGTACAGACCCAGCCCAAGGACCAAGAGAATGAACATGTGCTGTCTGCTTTTCTGGGTGTTAATTCAATGATAGGGACAATTGCTTTGCTACTACCTTAAACTATTAAGCCTTAAAGGCATTACAAGAAATAAGCACTACTGGAGCCCTCCAGTTCCTACTGTGGTAGATTAGGGATGAGATGCAATGGTCAGAGCTCAGTATTACAGGTACTGCTGAGTCTGTTGTGACCCAAGAGGGTGCTGCTTTCCAATGCAGTGAAACCAGCAGCTTCAAATGACAAATATAAATACTACCTAAAAAAATACATCTGTGTTAAAAGTGACAGATGATATAGATGGAGGTGAGGGAAATGGCCATGGATGAACCTGGAGAAGAGTTGGGTTTAAGTCTGCAGTTGTTTTTTAAAAGCAGATCATGCAGCCTTTTTTCTCTGTAGCTGTGTATGTTCCTAGAGTGGGTGGTTCTGTGTAGATGTTTTTTTAAGGGAAGATGGAAACTGAGTAGATATCAAAGAGCATAAATAAAGCTAACATAGCAGCACTGGAGTGGTATGACTGGTGGATATGGCCCACAGGCCTCATGCAAAGTGATAAAGACAACACGTCACCAAGCAGGCAGAATTAACTTCTGGCTTAAAATCACTCCTATCAATTATTACCAATCCCATGATTCACAGCAAGGATAATAATCAAACCAGATTTAATCATATACTGGTTTACTTCCATTTTCCAGGGCACATCCACATGGTTTTTAGGACAGGAATCCTACCTAACTCTGCCCAGTTCCTACTTGGAACCTGTCTCCTCATCCAAAATGTTTAACACATCCATCGCAACTGGAACTCACCCAGTTGTGTTTCAGGTATACTGGTTGTGAAATTTGATCGAGTCAAAGTCTCCAAAGAGCATCAATATCAACAGAATGCCCTTGTCCCACAAACAGTAAGGAGTTTTCCCTTTTCTTGTCATTTGTCATGGTGTCGAGCACTGCTAGGAGAGCAGCAAAGCAACGGGACAACGGAGATTAGCACACTACCTGTTACAGTACAGAAGCCTGTGAAACCAGGAGTAAAAAAGAGAAGGGGAGGAGGGACGAGAGCCAAAGTTCAATTGCAAGTTGAACCATCTGGCTCCAGAGGATCGGCTGCGAAGAACTGAGAGGTTGTAGAAGGCTGGTTGGAATGGATGAGAAAAAACCATCAGAAATGGAAAACAAGCAGGTTCCTAAGCACACTCCCATGTGACTTTGTTCTGTTACTCAGGAGTAAGAACAATTCTGTCTTACTCTGGATAATGACCCTGCCAATTACAAGGTCTGCATAGGCATCCCTTGGCTAGTTTGTCAAATAAGCACAAACTTACATGAAAGGGATTTTTCCACATGCGAGAGGAAATCCAGAGAAAAATGTGTGATCAGTTTTTGTATCATCTTCTCTTCCAGAAATCTTCCAGGCATTGACAGAATAGTTAAAATAACTAAAAAAAAAAAAAAAAAACCCCAAAAAAAGGAAGCCAAAACCCCCCAAACCAAACAGCCAACCTTTGCTCAAGAGCAGGTACTGCAGTTACTCTCTTCCACCAGCGTGGAAGCAATGCTAGAGCACAAAATGCCACTTGAAATGATGGGAGATTTTACAAGGCTAAACTACCACAGAAAGTGTGTTGTTCTGGTCTTGCATGCAAAGAGTCAAACAGCGTTTGAATTACTGCAGCTCCGACTGTTTCTGAGGTTTTTCTAGAATACAGTCCACTATGCTTATATTTGATTATCACCTGATAAATACAGTAGTAGCCTGGGGACACGTTAATTTTCTGAATTCCTGTGATGGTGTTCTGATGATAGTCACTGCTTGCTCCCTGAAAGAGCACACAACCAGGGCATGATACAGCAATTGCCTTCTCACGGGAAACCAGAGAAGGAATGGCCATAACAAGAGCACACTGGAGTATCTCCCCTGCTTTCGGCTGGGATAGAGTTAATTTTCTTCGCAGTAGCTGGTATAGTGCTGTGTTTGGGATTTAGGATGAGAAGAATGTTGATAACACACTGATGGGTTTAGTTGTTGCCAAGCAGTCAAGGACTTTTCAGCATCTCATACTGGCCTGCCAACAAGGAGGCGGGGGGGTGCACAAGAAGTTGGGAGGGGACACAGCCGAAAAGCTGACCCAGACTAGCCAAAGGGATATTCCATACTGTATGATGTCATGTTCAGTATATAAACTAGGGGGGAAGCTGGCCGGGGGGGGGAGTTGGCTGGGGCATGATTACTACTTGGGAAGTGGCTGGGCATCAGCTGGCAGGTGGTGAGCAATTGCATTGTGCATCATTTGGTTTGTATATTCTTTTGTCATCATCCCCATCATCCCCATCATTATTATTATCCCTTCATTTTCTGTCCTATTAAATTGTCTTTATCTGAACCTATGAATTTTACTTTTTTCCCCTGATTCTCTCCCTGATCTCACTGTCGGGGGGGGGTGAGCAAATGGCTGTGTGGTCATTCTAGATGCCTGCCCCGTTAAACCGCAACAGTATCTTTTTTTCAAGCTGAGTTTTATATCTGTTTATTAGGTTCTTAAAATTTCCAGATATAATTACTCTTAAACATGGTATTTTTGGTCTAAGTAGATTTGTACTAGTAGAAGGGAAAAGAAGCTGTAGGTCTCTGAGAGATAAATGTACCCATTGTACTAGATTCACACACAGAGGCTTTTTTTCTCCTTTCCAACCTCATTGTCCTACGAGGACTTTTAAATTAACAGCCCTGGGATTGTAACTTACAGAGCCCGAAGCCATTGGGCAAAAGAAAAATGAGTATTGACTCCGCTTTCACCTGCCAAACAGACAATGAGAAATTTGCAAGTCAACAAGTGTCATTATTTCCATTCAGATGAGTACGGCATTGTTTAATGAGCAAGAATTCACTATAATCCTGTCCTCCCCCAAAGAGTAGGCCACCTTTTACAACCTTTAGGCAAAGAAATAAACTTTAATTAACTCTGTAATGAATTAATGGGAGATAAATGGGATAAATGAATTAATTTATCTCCATGAGGCCTGACCTGCTGCAGGACTGTCAACCAGGAACTTAAAGCAGCTTTGCATATCCCTATTTATGCACCTAAGCAAGCAGTCTAAATATAATGCAGAACTTAGGGAGCCTGTTTCTGAAAGAGATGATCCTTGTGCCCAAGAGCTCTGGGATTAATGTTGCCCAGTGTTTTCCAGTTTACAGGACTGGGTTTCCCAGTTCCCCAAGCCCAGCAAAACTGCTGACATAGTTGGCTGACACATTTCCAAGATCAGGTGGTGGAAAAATAGGTCATAGCAGCAGCAGCTACTTTAAAGACAAGCCAGGGAAATGTTTCCATCTCATTTATCTATTCCCTGGGTCAAAACATTAAATACTGCTAGCAATCAGAGAAGGTTTTTGTTTTCTCCTGTCCTCCTCTATGGTTTATATACTGTTCATTCAAACGATGGTGTTACACTACTTACCTCATGCCACAATCTGGGGCCCCTATAGCTTCCCTACCTTCCCTTCCCAAGGCTTTCTGGAAGGCTTCTCCTAGCATGAGGGGTGTGTACCGTCACCACACGTTGAACATGTTTACCACCTTGGCCCGTCAAGTATGGGACCTGCGCTTGATCCAAATCTGCTAGGCTTCTTAAGGTAGCAAGCCATCTATGACATAATGGAATGTCAACTTGGAGACAGCTTGTTCTCGCCTGATTGTGTTGGTCTCTCACCAACAGATCTATTACATCTTTACGTATGTACTTCTTAGACATATCAAAAGGATGGTAATTTTGTGGGCTGGGGGACTATAAGAAGCCAGGAATTAATTTAACCAGAAAACCAGTTCTATTAGTGTATTGTTTTTATAAGCACATCTTAGGCAGAACAACATTTCGATTTATTGTTTTGGTTAGAAAAGACTGCTTATTAATGCCAATTTTGCTTTAAGGCTTTGAATTAAAAACAAATCACTCATTTTTTCCTCTTTCTAATCCTTGAAGTTTCAAGATGCAAGTGGCTTGTAAGAGACCATTCCAAACCCAAAAACAGTTTGAGGAATAACATATAACAAAGTTTCTTGCAGACAACTTTTTTTTACTGCGGGCAGCTGCTGCAGAAATTAACTCTAAGTCTTGCTTCCATACAGAAGACTGAAATTTAACTTTGAGCTGAAACTTAAAGACTTGTTCTCTTATAACTTTCAAGGATGGTTGCATTTTATAATAGCACACCAAAAGAGAATCTGTTCACGAACAAATTTTGCAACAGAGAATTGAAAACAGAATTCAAAATACCCATTTAATATCAAAGAAGAGAATATGTTCCAAAATGGCAATAGCAAAGATGGCTTTAGTAGCATAAATAGGGCCATAATGATACCCACACTTCTACAATCAACACTATCCAAAGAGAAATTCAGAAAAAAATTGAAATCTGTGCATTCACTTAAGAAAATATATATATTTTATACATATATATAATGTATATTACATACATTCTCTCTTGGTGCTACTGGTAGAGAGGCAGGATATTCTGACTGCATGTCCTGAAAGCCAGGCTGAAAATTCTCTTGGGTCAGTGAAATAATTTTGTGCGGCTCATAAAAAAAATCCCGTTAACATAAATTTGTACCTGAATGTTGGGATTCTGCCCATTGATATCTGCTTTTGACAGGTCAGGGAAGTTTGGGAGATCCAGGAGGAAAGATCTGGGTCCATCTCTTTGCAAGGACGTGTGCCCGTTTTCCTGTCTGAATCGCTGCTTAGGGAACGGCCGGTGGGCAGCCTGGAGATCAGGGTATTCTCGTCTGTCCTCAGGGTTCAGGGTGAAGCTGTCTGCCGGAGAACGGTCATCTGCAGTAAGCGTGTTCTGGGGAGAAAAAAACAAGGCACTATAACAACAACTGAGAGAGCGTGCAGTCCTGCCAGTGGCCCAACCATGGCTGCAGAGTGCGTACAGAAAACCTTATAGCACACAGATCCATGGCTCGTTACTGAAACACACAAGATTTATGACCGGTATTTTCTAGGGTGCTCATGAGTTTGGCTCCTGACTTTCACTGAAATATACTTAGTTACAGCAGAGCAAATCTGTAACTATCTGACACAAGATAAAACTGAGTCAGTCTCGAGTGCTTAGCTCTTTCATGTTCCTGTAACATTCCAGCCTTGCGGTGAACACCTACACACTGACACAAGCATCTAACTTCAAGCAAATCTGGAACCAGGAAGCTCTGAAACAGTCCCTGGAAAATCAAATGATATCACATTAAACCTGTCCCTAAAATGGTGAAGGATATCTTTATTACGATCATTTTAGTTTGCTTTGTTCCAAAGTGGAGCAAAACCACTGACTGCCAAGTGCACGTTGAAGTTTATGGTATTAAAAGATCCTACCGCTGAACTGGCAACCTCTCCCTCTCTCCTCGGTCTGCAATGACTTCCATCTCCTTGTCTGTGTTCCTCACCCAACTTCTCTGGTCTTGAACATCTGAACCTTCCTTCCTCTGGGATCTCATTTTCATGTTTGCCTAATGGTGGGATTGAATTTCACCAAGTTGTGGGTCAGCGGTTAATGCTTTTGTTATTGTTGCGCGTACTTTCGGGTTTTGTAGTATGTTACAGCAGGCTGCCTTCAAACCAGTAGCACTGCTGCCACTGCCTTTGACCTCACCAAGGAGAGAGATACATTTAGTATCAAAACACTCGCTCCCTGAGTTAGGACTGGCCTGGGGACTCGGGGAAAAAAAACAGCAGAGAAGTCAAATCTTATGGCTACAAAAAAATGCGTGGGGCAGATTCAACACAGGTTTTGCTTTTGACTCAGCTGAGAAATTTTAGGCTTGAGGTCTTCGTATGACTACCCAGGGAGCTTTTATTTTCAGTTCATAAAGAGACAGCAAGCATGGAGAGGGTAAATGTTAAAGACCTATCTTTTAAAACAAGCACAATTAAAGTGGAATGGCCACATGTGGCTCTGGCTCTACTGAGGCATATTTTTGCCAGCATTTCTGGTTAAACGCAATCTCCATCCAGCTCCCCTGGCTCAAATTAAGCTAGCATACCTTTTGTTAAGCTCTCAGAGAGATAACAGTTCCAATGCCTTTTCTTTTATTTTGTGTTTATTTGCCTAGAAGGTTCTAAATTGATCTTTGAAGAAATTTTACAATATAATCTGTGCACATTACAGGAAAATATTCAATGAGTTAAATAAACCAAGATTTAAGAGTTAATCTGGGACTAGGTGAAATTGTCTCAAGCAAAAACTAAGGTGGTTCTCCTCTCTCCTCCTCGCTGCACTGCTCTTTACATTTGTAAAGAGCAAAATCAGATTTAGCAGAATTAATGTCGTCTTGGTATTTTCACAATCAGAATGATTACACTTTGAAAGTGCCAAAAGGGTACTTTTATACATCTATCTACAGCACAGATGCAGAAAGTTCATTCTGAATTAGTGTATGTGTGCAGTGCTAAAAATGCATCTGCTCCTGACAGTCTGTATTGCTTGAAGGCTAAACCAAGAAAGCTTCTCTTTGCAGAAGACCAGGCAGGACCTTCAGATGCCTTTGGTGGGCCACCCACCCTTTAACACACTCCTTAGTCAATATAAAGTAGAAAGCAAATCACACAGTGGCAAGCTCTGGGAAACAAAATTGAGGGCCACTTAGTTAACTTTAGGTTCCTTACCCATATGCTACTGCTTTAACTTAACACGGAATTTAACTGCAAATATCTTGGCACATGAGGATTAAATGGCTTCTCAGTTATGTCTGACTAACAACAAGGTGGAATTGTGCTGTTATTAAATTACTTCAGACCAGAACAAAAAAAAAAAAAAAAAAAGTGGTATTTAACTACTTTTTTCCTGGGGTATCATGCCCATGATCTTATCTTTATTAAAAATAAAGTGAGATTTTTATTAAAAAATAATATTCTCACATACAATTTCATACTTTCCCTATCTGCTTTCCACTTCAGGAGCGTCTTGATTCTCCATGTTAGCACACCAGACAGCTAGAGCTGGCCAAGGACTTTAGAGACCTATGTTTAAGTCTCTGATAAGACTCGCTGTGCGATCTTGGCAGGTCGTGGTCTGTCTGTGCCTTGGTGAGGATAAGAGCACTTCCCTTCCTCACTGTGATGTTTGCGGGAAGCTCAGCAACTACAATAATAAGAGGTATATAAAAAGTTTTTAATAGTGTCAGACAGATGGAATATCACATGGAGTTAGTTAGAAAATTGTCATGGTGAAGTAATGACATCAGGCTGATCGGGCCCACTACCAAGCTGCTTGGGGCAGGGACTGTCATTAATTACAGACTGAATGAGTTGGGGTTGTTTAATGATAAAAAGAAGAAAGGGGGGGACACGAACGACATGAGAACTGCCCTATACCAAAGGCTGCTGCAGTGAGGAAGGGGATGGACTGCACTGCATGTTCAGGCTGGACATGACCAGAAGACGCTGGTTCAATGTTAGGTACGCATTTCTAATGGCAGGGTTGACTAACGCCTGGCAGGAATGTCACAGGTTAAACTGTCCTCTGCCTAAAAGCAATGTTAGCTCTTGCAGTGCTTTTCCCACTGGGACGAGCCCGCACTATGCCTCCTTGGGGTTTCGGTGTCATACTGCAACACGAGCAAACAGAACCGCTCAATATGCATGATCATTTCTGTTATCTGATCATAGGACTGTGAGCAAAAGACCATTTGTTTCCACTTACTAAAATGAATAGAATGCCCATTTTTTTAGGCAGATAATTCTTGGTGTGGTGTCTAAGCTGATTTGCAGTATTATTAAAAATGTATATTTCTGGTAAAAAGCTTAATAAAAAGTGAGCTTGAACTGCACGTGAAGAGACTATGGGCTGACTCTGTTCTACTGCCTTAAGTCAAGCAAAGGATCTTCCAAGGGCAATCTAGCAGGGAAAAGTGTGTCCTTTCTGCAATGCCAGCATCCTTTCTGAAGAAAACAGGGTTTGTGATCCAAAGCTAGTAGATAATTTTATTTTTTTTTGGGGGGGGGTGGGAGTATTCCTCTCATTTCTACGTTATTTCGCATGTTTATACTTCACACTATTTATTTTTAGGTGTACACAATTTGTATGCCCGATTGCTTTTGGGAAAGCAGTGTTGCTTGCCTTCCTTTTAAATCTGTGTCACTTCATTCTGAACCAGTGACTCAGTTTCTCTGAAGTTATGACATTTCCAATTCAGGCACATTGGCTTCTTACTCAAGTGATGCATCTGCTCTAAATATTTTAAGATAAATCACTTTTTTCCCCCCATTCATTTAACAGGATTATTCACAACTTTTAAACTTTCCATTAAGATGATTTTTTAAGGGGTTACTCATGCTTGCTGTCAGCTACAGTTCTGCTGCCCCACGGGATCAGGTATTTATAGAAGTTCCTAATAGAAAAACAGCTTAGGATTTCTGAGTGTTCTAAGTGTGGACAGTATATAAGGGCAGGCACACATTATTCACAGCTGCATGACAAGGGAATGAAATAAACCCTAGCAAGAGAGAATCTGCCACATTGGTTGTAATACAGACTGGCACAGCTTGCCGCTCCCATCACTGAAAAAATTCAGTACCCATCAGTGTCTTTGTGGCCATCTATAAACCAAGGAGGAAGAGCAATTTGCAGGGCTTTTGTGAGGGTAACTTTAAATGTTGGTGCTCCAGGTGGGACCTGCACCGTGGCAAGGTTTTAGACACCAAGAGATAACCCTGCATGCAGGAAAAATTTCCTATCCGCTAATGCAGTTTAACTTTTCAATAATCAAATGGGTATTTTAATTCCCGCCTCTGCCTCTGTCACGTTAGACATTAGCTGCAGGGAAGCGTACCATTTCTCTTTCCCATGGAGAAGTTAAACAGAAATGGGAACTTGTCAAAATACCAAACTAGGGAAAAAGGGAATTTCTCTGCATTTTTAGCAGGTGAGGAATCCATCTCCCTCCTCTCTTCCTTATTTTGATCCCATTTCCAGTTTTGGAAAAACAACCAAGACAGAGAATAAGTGAGGAATGACTGGCACTACAGAAAATATTCTGGAGCAGCTGCTCTTTCTCTGTCCTCCGTCCTTCCTACCTTCCTTCATTCCCTCCCCACTTGCCAAACTAAGGGCACATTTGCAAGCACTGCTAATTACGGAGTTGAAAGAATTTGGGAAAACTGATGCAAGCTTTATCCCTAACAGCTCCCAGACAGCAAGGGAATCTGTTACTAAATCCCTGCTGCAGCTACACTGCTTTTTTATTTCTCGTATACCCCTTTGAAATATCTTGTAAAATGATCTTGACAAGAGGTCTTGAATTGAAAACCGACAGTCTGTCAATGCACTTTCATGATGCACCTGTACAGCATCTTCAACCACCAGGAACAAGGAACGTTCATTTATTAGGAAACTTCACAGACGCTATAAAAGATTATATTGCTATCAGAGACAAAATGAGGCCTGGGGCCTTCACAGAAAACCATTATAGCCATTAGGACTGGTTTCATTTCCCACCTGCCTAAACAGATTGTTTTCATTTTGGAGGTTGTCGTGTGTTTCCAGGTTAGTGCTAAATGATCACTTTAAAATTAACCAGTCTGGGGAGGCTGAGTAACACACCGGGATACTACACGAGACTTTCACCTCTGCAGATCCAAGATCTGTAATGAACTTGGGTGATCTAATTCCTGGGGTTTATTTATTCTTTTGTCTGTCATGAGTATAAGCAGCACAGGACCTAGCAGGAAGAGGTACGAGGACAGTGTTAGATAAGCAGACAGTGAAGTTAACAGCTGAAAAGCATTATCAGAGATACAGAGAGAAAAATTTCTTTTATGATTAATGCCACATACAGTCCAGGCAGTCAGAAAACCTTTGTTCTGTTCTTAGTTCTGTCTTGGCTTTCTCATTTAACAGGCAAATCTCTTGGGTTCATATTTAATTTCTGTGTGACCAGCTGAAAGCAGGCGACGGTATGAGCCTCACAGCTCTGGTTTGCTCCAAGGAGTCACTCATGGTTCCTGTCTCTGGAAGAAGTCAGACCAGAGGGGTGTCACCTGAACCACTCAGCTACTGAGACACTCTCTTTTTTTTTTCTTAAAATGTGCTTGTCCTTCATGTTCACATATATCATGAAGTGAAAGGCCTGACTTGTCTTTAGAAAGCTGCACAAATTAATTGTTGCAATAATAATAATCACTGCTCATCAACATTTAAAATGGACTACATTGGCTTGCATGTACACAATTGTTTTCACTAAGGAGCTCCAAAATATAGCATCTGCTTTAAGCATTGTGTAAATAGAAGATGAATCACTGATTACAGACCAGAACAATAATAATAATAATAATAATAATAATAATAAGTTCTGTTTATCAGGGTCTATTTTTTAAAAATAAAATTAGTAAAATAGCATTGTATTCAGTTCTAACTTGCACATCTGCACGTGTGACCAAGTGGCTATGCAAAGACCAAAGCCAGTCATCCCACAGGGTATTGCTATGGGGCTTCAGGGGCTGTACGGCTCTTGAAGTGATTTTATTTCTGTGGAGAACACGATGGAGCTGCAAATACTGTTGCAATTAGTAGAGCAGAAATTCAGAGTAGATATGTCGATCTGCCATCACTGTTGGCGCAGAGGTCTTCTGTAGACAGCTTAGATGTTGGGTGCCAGTGGCAGCAGTTAGGCAGTGAGGTGCTTGGGATGCCCAAGCATATACCCAGCCCCCCACAGCTGGTTTTTGCCCTATGCTGAAATCGCTCTCAGGAGCTGCCTACAGTAGAAGCAGAATCTCAAAGCATCTGGGCACATTTATCTCAGAATCAGAGCTTTTGAATTTTAGGGGGTGTACACTAAAAACTTCTAGCCCTAAGAACTACACAGAAAATCTTGAGAACTTAGCCAGGACTTACGTTACGACTGCAGAGATCCTAGGGTGGTAGCATTGAGGCCCCCTTTACATTTAAGGTCTAGTAAGTCCCACACTACTCTTTCAAGGCACACAGCCAACACTACGACAGGGCCCTCCACAGTGGAGGAAAAGGTTGCTGCCTTGTTGAACCATCTGAACTGATACTGATTGTGAGTGCTGGAGCAGCCCCACCACTGCTCCTCCCCTACTGAGCCTGTTTATTCACTTGCAGTCGTCAAGCTTTGGTCCATCCTTCGTTCAGTCTCGGGTTGGGAGTTTCTCTCACCAACCTCCCTGGTCCTCATCTGAACAATATTTTTTCCTCAAAGCTTAAAGAGAAAACCAACCATATTATACCCAGATCTGGCAACCTTTTGCTACATGTTGTGGAAACATATTTCACAGCACAGCTATTTTTTTATGCTCTGTTGTTTGCTTGTATTTAATGTTTTCCTTCAGCTGGAAAATACAAACAGTATAGTTCAGCTTGGAGGTGAAGAACTGCCAGTTCGTATAAACACTTTGATAATAAAAAGGACTTGGTGGTGATTGCAGC